CACAGCCCGAGAAGGACTTCGAGACAGCATCACCACTTCCAGCCCAGAACAATAAAAACTCAGTTACCTCTGCTGCCTTTCCTTCCAGTAAGGAGGATTAAACCCATTACACATGAGGTAAAGATGAAATAAGTGAATGAGAACAAATGGTCACTAGAACCGTTCTAAGGTATCCTGTAGGAGCCCATCACATCGTGTGACCAGTGTTTTCCTCTCCTGATCAGTTGAGGCACTGTCAGTCACTCCCCATGATCTGGCCGCTTTTAACTAGCTGAAGACGGTATAGCCCCGATCTTGACAGTAGTAAAAATGCAACCAAATGTGTCTTCATGCGTAGGCGTGCCTTCCTGCAGCCCCATGGGTCGAGCTACACTCACCTGTTCCTTTGTGATATTACCCCCTTGCCCTGTTTGGGATAGAATGTTCCAAGGAAACGCCCTTTGAGTGTCCCCTTCTCTTGCTCTGCCCTTGGGTGTGGCCTTCCTAGATGTCAGTCAACCTGCTGACAGCAGACATCATGAAGCTAGACTCAGCCTCTTGAAACCTGACCCCTTGCCTATTTGAATGGCTTCTCCTCAATAAAAGGGGATCTGCAGGAGCTACTCTTTCTGCAGACCCTTAAGATCAGAGGACCCGTCAAAGCACCCCCAAAGAAAAAGATATTTCTGTCTCTTGTGTGGTTATTTCACGCAGCCCAGTTCCCCTGGAGTGACCCTGAGTGTTTAAGTTGGGAGGAACTCAGCAGTATCCAAACAACTGAGCAACTAAAATGGCTTTCAGCACAGCCAACTGAAGCAAGCACAAGAACGGCCACCAGCACAGCCTTCCACACCCAGCCTGCCAGGGGCCAGAAGAATCCTAGCAAGTCAACAGCCTTAAACCATGTGACCCAAGTTCTCTTCTGCTGGCATGTCCTCAGTTTCTTGGAGTCTGCAGCACTCACAAAGTGAACTAGGTACGTTAGTCAGTATAAAACTAAGACCAAGGGAAAACTCAAAAAGCTAGTCCAGAGTGTAAAACAGAAAAAACAAGGATTATATCCCCTTGCTCTTACAGAAATGGAGCGACCTTCCCTAAGAACACAAGGAAGCAGAGAAACAGGGATTTGAATCCAGTCGTCTGACATCAGACCTTAATCACTCTGCTGTGCCACCTCCCAGGAAACAGACCAACAATTTCTTATTTGTCATTCTCTAAAATGTATGCCATAAAAAAAAGTAAATTTATGTCTCTCACAAAATTAAAGATAACTCTCCCCTCAAGTTAGCTGTAATGATCACATGTCCAAGTCTCCAAAATTATTATACAAAATTATTCAGAGATCATCACTTGCAATCTACAAAGGCTCCTAGTCTGCATCCTTAGACACACAGCCTTTACTCTCAAGTATGCCACTACCTATGAGAGGCTGTCCTCTAGGGGAGACAGAAGGACAATACACCCAGGGACACCAGAGAGGGGCTCTGCCTTGGAGGAGCCCATTCTGTCTGAAACTCCGGCACTACTGAATATTCCTTTAGATTTGGAAGGCTTGTTCTTTCTTTGTTTTTTGTTTTGTTTTGTTTTGTTTTTTGCAGTTTTGGAGACTAAAACCAAGACCTCACACATTCTTGGGAAGTACTCTACCACTGAACTACCTCTTATCTTTAAGAGGTCCTTAACTCATGAACTTCATACAGCAGTTATATCCTTTCTTTCCATTCAAAATCTTTGAAACCCCTGCATATAAACTCAAAAATGTGATAAAATACCATGTAATTGTCTGTTTGTTAGAAAAACTCTTATTCTCAGTGGAATACTGAAATCCACTGCTAAAATTAGGAAGAAAGAAAGAGAAGGGAGGAGGAAACTTACACTCACTCAAGATAAGGAAAATTAGTCACACTTCACCTACCAACAGGGAGATGCTGAGAAATGTGTCCTTGAGCAGTACAATCATAATATGAACAACAGAGTATGCCTACTGTACACGTAAGCTACATGGTATGCACATGTGTAATGTAGCCGACCACTCCCAGGGCCATGATGAACAGACCGTGGGAGTCAACCAAGCACAGAAGAAAATGACTCAATCAAAAGATGCAGCACACCTGACATGTGAGGCCGCTGCCTGCCCAAGAATGCAGTTTTAGAGTAAACTTGTTTTTCAATAAGAGAACATTCTACAGCAATGAAAGCAAAGCACAGTAAACACATCAGTGAGATAGTCATTTATTACGGAGTATTACACATAATTGTGTGGCTATGCCTGCAAGCCACGGGCAGCACAGCAGGCGTGTCTGCACTAGTGTCACCAACACAAGCCAGCATTGCATGTGACATCATGACAGCCGCCAGTCACTGGGCAATAGGGTTTTTTCAGCTCCAGTATAATCTCAGGGGACCACTATTGTACACATGCTCCCTTGTTAGTCAAAAGGTGACTATGCAAAGGATAACTGTATTTAGAAGGGGAAAATTAACTCATTTTATCCTTCTTAGTATTTATTATTCTGTGATTGTTACTTTTCAACAGATTTAAAAATTCTCAGCCCTAATCTCTTCAAATATTCGTTCCACCTTTCCGTCTTTCCAAGGATTCCAACCAAAAGTCAGATCTTCTCATTTCATCCTCTTTTTTCTCATGCTCTTCAGAGTTTCCCATCCTTTACCATCTGACACTTAATTCAGGGAGGTTTCTTCTGATCATTCATTTTTATCAGATTTTCTTCTTCAGCAGCGTCTAATCTGCTATGAATCTGATTCCTAAATTTTGGCTACCACATTTTTAGATATAGTATTTAGTTGTTTAATTTTCAGATTTGCTGCATCCCTGTATAGAATGTCCAGTTCCTTGCTGATATGCTTAAATTCAACTTTTATTTATCTAAATACAGTCAACAATGTCAGATAGTCTGGTGATTCCTTTGTGTGAAAAGCTTGTTCCGTTGTCTGTAAGACAACCTAAAGCCAGGCATGGTGGTGGGTCTCTGATGCTGAAAATAAACTTGTTCTGCATGCAAAAGAGCTACCTGTTGTCTTTAAGCAAATCTATATTAGGAAGAAAACCCTAGGAACAGTGTAGAAAATGGTTTTGGACAGAAGAGAGATGTTTGGAATCAGGGAGTCCATTGAGAAAAATTCCAGTAAGAGGCTATTATGGCTTGATGTCAGGCTGTGTAAGCCTGTGGGAAAGGAAGACCAGAGGCAGAACTGTGTGTGATACTCAGCCTAACAGGAAACGGGGTACTAAGGGAAAAGGGGAAACAAAACACCCCGCTCTCAAGTATTCACAGGCAGCACACAGAGAGAACAGGGATGGAGGAGTACAGATAGGGATTTTGTTTTAGACATGTTACAGTCAAGAGTCACTGGCAAGGAGACAAGAGGTAAGCTTCAAGTTCAAATCCAGGTCTCAGAAGTTGAAAAGAAACATCAAAATTATAGCTTAAATTACATGGAAACAATAGCAGAGGAGGGTTTAAGTAATGAAGATAGCAAAAGGGATACAGGAAGCAATCCCTGAATGTCTGAGGTGCACAGTGAAGGACTGCATAAGGGGCAAGAGCCTATGAAGGATCACAGGGAGAACATCGAGAGAGCACACAATGAACAACAGGAGTTGTTGCCAAGATTTACAGAGGTCAAGCAGGTAAGTGATGAGTGGAGCCAACAGATCTAGCAATCCATTCAGAAGAAGGTATTTTAAAGGCAGGCACGGTGGTGCATGCCTGTAATCCCAGTGGCTTGGAGATGAGGCAGGAGGATCAGGAGTTCAAAGCCAGCCTTAGTAAAAGCAAGACAATAAGCAACTGTCTCTAAATAAAATGCAAAATAGGGCTGGGGATGTGGCTCAGTAGTGGAGGACCCCGAACTCCCCCCCAGAGAGAGAGAGAGAGAGAGAGAGAGGAGAGAACCCACGCCCACGCGAAGGTCTTTAAGAAGGGAGCTTTTAATATGAAACGTTTGTAAGTTACACAAAAAGTTAAACAGAATTATCACGTGACCCAGTAATTCCACCGCTGAAATACACTCCAAACAGAAAACAGACTCAGACAGACACATGTAAGTCTATGTCCACAGGAGCACGAGTCGCAAGAGCAAACAGGAGGGTAACCCAGTGTCCGTGGAGGGACAGATAAGCAGATAAACATATGGTGACTCATACGTGCGTGAAAAAAAGGACTGAGGTATGATGCATGCTGCCACACGGACCTTCACCCGTGGAACAGGACAGACACAACAGGACGAGTGCTTACAATCCCACTTAGGAGGGACCTGAGGAGGCAAATGCACAGAGAACGGCGGAAGGGGGAGTCACTGCTGACCGGCACAGTTGGTCAGGAATGATGAAAAGGTTTTCAGGTAGCAGATGGTGACACAAATGGCCAATGTACTCACTGCCGTAAGACAGCGGAAACCGCGACCTTCCCGCGGCGTCTTAGCACCGCAGCCCCAGTCCCAGCACACGTTCCGCACCGGCGGCACCGAGACCGAGGGGCGCAGAGCGCGGGCCCCGGGGTCCCGTTCTCCCCGAGGCAGGGGAGGCTGCCACCTTCGGGGCTTCCGGATAGTCACCAGGGACAAAGCGCAAACCGCAGCCGGGGGCCGCTCAGCCCGGGGCCGCGGAGGGGCGCGGGACCCGAGAGGGGCGGTGCAGGCCGGGTACGGGCCCCTGGCGGCGCCATCCCGCAGCCGGCCGCTGCTTCCGCGGTCGGGCCCTTCACGGCGGAAAGCCAGACACACTTCCTCCCGCGGTAGAAGCGGAGCCGTCGCCGGAGCGGCGCTGCTCCCGGGACCCGCGGGCGGGCTCGGCGCCCCCGTCACCGCAGCGCGCACGTGCGGCGCCGCGGGGTTCCCGGGCCGGCAGCATTCCCGGGCCGAGCACACCGCCGAGGGGACGCGCGGGGCCTGCCTCGCGGGGAGCCGCGCGCACCGGAGTCGCCCCGAGCCCGCCCGAGCCCGCCGGGACGCCGACGGAGGCCGCGCGGGGCCAGGCGCCGCCGCCCGCAACTACTCACCGCGATGCGCGCAGCCCAGGGCCGCGGCCTTCCGACGCTCGGGCTGCGGCATCTTCCCTCCCGCCACAACCCAGGGCCACGGGGCCCAGGAGGGCGGCCGAGCGGGACGCGGAGGCTGACGCGGGTTCGTGCGGTCCCCGCGCCGCAGCCTCGGCCGAGAGACCGCCGGCGCCACGTCACGGGCGGCCCCGCCCCGCGCCGCGTCTGACGTCACCGCCCGCCGCCCTGACGTCACCGCGCGGGGGCCGCGGCCCAAAGCTTCTTATCCCTACCCAGAACAGGTGCCAAACCCAGGAAGAGAAATGCTGTGTATTTTCTCTCATGTGTGGCAGCTAGTCGGGAGAAAAGAAAAAGCAAGGACATCTCCAAAGTAGAAGGGACCAGAAGGACAGAAGAAAGGGGTCCGCAGGGAGGTGGGAGCGCCGGGAGGTCGGAGCGCGGGGAGGTCCTGGGGGCCAGCGCGGCGCGGCGACCCGCGTGTGCCGCGAAGCTAGTGTGCACCGACACGGGAGAAAGGCGCCCGCGGTTGAGGATTCCGAGTGGTCCGCAGGGCGCCGTGGCGCGCGCCTGAAATCCCAGGCACTGCGGGGCTGGGGCAGGGGGATCCCCGGTTCCCCGCCAGCCTGAGCAACCTGGGAGACGCCGGCAAAGGTGGAAAGGGCTCGGGGGGTAGCGCAGTGGCTTTCAAGGTCCTGGGTTCCATCCCCAGTACCACCATTAAATAAAGAAGAAAAAGACAAAATGTGTAGTATTATGATGAGACGTATAGGTCAAAATGTAGAGAGCGGCCGTGAAAACGACTCCTACTGCCGGCGATAGTGCGAGAGGACACAACTCTGGTCGAATTCCGCCAGAATAGTGTGGATGCTCCTCTTTGGCCCAGTCATGCCAGATTACGTTGGTGAATATCCCCTCCTCTGAAATAAAAAAGTTCTTGGTCAAGAACTTTTAAAATTACTTTTAAAAAACGCATTGCTTTTGCAATTAACAGGGAACTGAATACCGTGTAGGAAAAGGAGGAAAATCTGCATCTCTTATAAGTTAATAATTAAAAAGCAGTATCTGAACTAAAAGCATTGAAATTCTTGAGAGGAATGACACTAACCTCATCCAACCACTCTTCTGGATTAACAAGCAGTGCCAAATACTTACTAGGGTCCTCAAGGTGTCAGGTGCCACCAAGGTCTCCGCACGGGACTCAGGACTCTTTTCCCCAGTTACTAGGTGTGTAAGCAGGTGACGGCCCTCCCCCAAGTCCTTTTGGGACCGTTTGCCTCAAGAACTGCTGCTCAGTGCCTGGTGGAACACCTTTGACTTCCTCCACCCTAGTCCAGGCAATAGTTCACCGTGGCCGGAGGCAACATCTGTTTCAGGAGAGGGTTTCTCTTGCAGAGAGTACGGGAGACTGTTACCAGTCTCCCCGAGTGGTTGCAGTTCACATAAAATACAGTATAATATCAAATTAGCCCCACAGGGCTCAATACCCATGATAAGCAACATTAATTGGCCTGAGCACTTGTTAAAAGCAATGAGGTTTAGGCTTCACCCCAAACCTACTTACAATCCTAGTTTACCCGGATCCTCAGGTATTGTATGTGCAAATAGAAGTTTGAAATCATGCCTGCAAGACAGTTGCTTCATGTACTCATGAACCTTGAAACTCTCAGATACTTAAATATTTGCCAGTCTGATAAGTATGAAATGGATTTTTGTTTATAGCTGCTATTTTGAATACTATTCTACCAAATTAATGTACATTGGTTACTTAACCATTATTCTAGTAACTGAAGATTTGGATTAGCTCTGGTTTTCACCACTATAATGCTCTATGCATTATCTCACTGTGGTTAAACAGTCTTTGAGGCCAGGATGATTACACAAGTATTTAGCTGTGGTTTTTGTTATTTTGTTTTTGTTTTGTCCCTGGATGCCCGTTGCCAAATGAAATACAGAATGGCCTAAAATGTCAATTTCAGATAAAGGATACTTTGTCCTATGCAATATTTAGGATATACCTGTCTTGTTACTAAAGCATTACATATGTGTGCAGCTGCTGAACTTGGCAGGTCAGATCCGGTAACAAAAAAGACACTCTCCATATGAGATAGTGTTTATTGTTGTAATAACAAGAAAGCAATAGCCAAGTGAAAGGCACATGAGAAAAAGAAAATACATCACCAGATTGGGTAAACACCAACACCTGAAGTCGTGTAGCTGGGAGTCCCTGGGCAGCTTGTCAGGGTCCCCATTGGGAAGTCCTGGGCTGAGCATCTTCACCAGTGGAACTCCAGTCTTACTCCTTATTCATCCTTAAACATAAGTAATAATCCTTAAATATGAGTTAGAACAAAGGAAAAAAGTCTAACAACCTGGGTGACCTGGCAGTCTCCTCAAGGACACTTCATCCTCCCAAGGAGGGAGAGTTTGCCCTGAGATAAGCGAAGGTCTGAGTTCCTGTAAACCAGCCACACCTAAACTCAAACCCTAGAATCCTGCATAGTTTAGATGTTCTATCAAGTACATGCAAAGGTCACAGCAGGCATGGGGACAGGGGAGATCTCTGGAATTTTCCTTAGCCCTTCATTTATAGTGCTAAAATAAAATGCTGAGACTTGGTAGTTTAAAATTAACAGAAATTAATTTTCTCACAGTTCCAGAGGCTGGAAATTCCAAGATTAAGGGCCTAGCAGGCTCAGTGGTCTCCTGAGGGTTGCTCTTGGCTGGCACCTCAGATGTGCTTCCTCCAGAGGGAGGAGCACTGGGACTCTAGCAGGGGTCAGAATGGTAAAGTGGGTGAACACCTTTGTCCAGTCCTGTTATAAGGACACTTGATCCTATTCACAGGGGCTCTGCCCTGACCTAATCACTTCCCCAAAGCCCCTACTCTTAATATTATTATGCTACATAAATTTTGGAGGAGACACATTCAAACTATAGGTGTACCTATGCTAAAATAATGTTCTTTATTTGTCTGAAATTCAAATTTAACCAAGTATCTTGCATTTTTGCTGGCTAAATCTGCTAACCTTCACCCTGGGCAAAATATAATCTTAGTTTTCTCATCTATGAAATAGGAATAATAGGACTTATAAAGTAGTGAAGGTGTATAGTTGAAATAAGATAGTCCATGCAGAGTACTTACTATAGGGTCTGAAACACAGGAGAAGCCTAGGGTTGGCTTTTATTAATTATGACTTCAAACAGGTGTGTTTTAGAGTCAATTCCCAAAGGATTCTTTAATTACTAAACTCCTGAGTTTATTAATTTAAACCTTGTTTGAGCATTTGATCAAACCAAAAACTATGTTTTGTGAAAATCTTTTACTAGGTCAGCAGATACTTCCTCAATTAGCTCTAGAATACAAGTCAGATTTTTTAAATGTCCATACAGCTGAGCCTCAATAACTTAGTGAGACCCAGACTCAAAGTAAAAAAAAATAAAAGAACTGGGGATGTAGTTTAGTGGCAGAGCATCCCTGGGTTCAACCCCCAGTACCAAAAAGAAAAAAAAATCATACAAGTCCAAAATTATCACCTATAAACAAGTATGAATTCCCTTTCAGTAACAGCAAATGCTTGGATGTTGATTTGATTTGTTTACTTTTCCAGAGCCAACTGAAAACAATATTCAAGAAGAGATTATCTAAGAGTCATACCGAACTATTTCTAGGACTTATTTGGATTATCTAGTACCTGAACTAAATTGTATTACAAAACTAAAAATTAACATTAGGTCTATGGTTTTAAAAAGACAAAGTGTACATTTTTTTTTCTTTTGGCAAAGCTGATATTTCTACCAAAATTTTTTTCTTTAATTTCAAAACTAAGCCAAGCATAGTAGCACATACCTGTAATCCCAGAGCTTGGGAGGCTAAGGCAGGAGGAATGAGAGTTCAAAGCCAGCCTTAGCAATTTAGCAAGGCCCTAAGCAATTCACCTGTCTCTAAATAATTTAAAATACAAAACAGGGCTGGGAGTGTGGCTTAGTAGTCGAGTGCCCCTGAGTTCAATCCTTGGTACACACACACAAAATTCAAAACTAGGGGGAAAATATCATTACTTTAAGACAATTTTCCACATTTATACAATATAGTTCTCTTTTTCCTTCAGGTACAGAATATTTTGTATTTTATCCTAATTTCAATAGATCCATGGGTTTATTGTAATCAATTTTTAATGATTTTCTATAAGCAGCTAGGGCATAATCTATGGGTAAAGTATATGATCATAATGAGGCACTTTGATGCTGCCAGGTCAACCCTTTAAAGGCTCAGTCAAGTTCCCTAGCCATCTGTCATATACTAGCCCCAGTTTCCCCCATGTGTTTCTAGCAAAGGTTTTTAATATATTTTATTTTGCTAAATAGGTAATAAAGAGATCATAAACTGATTCTTTGCTATTTACATGTACACATTATCTGAAGAACAGAAGTTCCGGGAGGGAGGGATGTTGTCTGCCATGCTCCCTGTGGCATCCTGGCACCTAGAAGTCTTCCTGGTCCACAGTAAACCCTTGGCCATTGACCAAGTGGCCATAATACGTGAATGAAGCTGTTTGCTCTGTAGTGGCTTCTTTAGCTTTCCTCCAGCATATGCTGTGTTCAGGGATACTATCAGAAGTCCACCACTCCTGTTCCCTCCTTCAATGTTTTCCCACCCTCATTTTCTCTCTTTACTGTCTGTGTGAATCAAATCTCTTTTGCCTTCCTAGCACTATCACCACGGTGAATCTCACAGCAATTCCTATAACCCCAGAGAACTTTAGGCATTGGGGTGTTCACACAGATTGGGACACCAGCTACTTCCTCCTCCCCAACCCCAGCTGAAGAGTCAAGTCAGGTGGTGCATGGAGTCACCACAAGACACCCAGTGTGAGCAGTGTCAGGAGAGAGGTGGGCCAGAGCCACAGGTGGGCACAGACGTGATAAAGCAAACTCATGTACAAGAGGAGTGTCTCAAAGGACCCGAAGGCTGGCAGAAACAAGCAGGCAAGCCAACTCGGAGAAATGAACTGAGACGCCCAGGCAAGTAGACTGGACATCAGAAGTGCAGGAACCCAACCAAGCTGTCAGCCCCAGAACCTGTGCTGGAGGCAAAGGAAGGAGCTTGGCCCAGCTCAGTCCAAGTTGGTATGGACCAGGCACAGCTCTCTATGAATGTCTTTCTGAGGCAACCACATTAGCTCATCTGTTTGGAGTAACAATAAGGTTGGCAAAGGCTCCAAAAGCAGGCAAGGTCCCTGGAGGCCACCAGGACCAAGTGAGTTTACCAAATAATTGACAACACTGCACTTTATCCCAGCAAGGTACGCTGGAGTCCTAACTCTGTGATAGCTTACACTACTAATGCTCAAGGTCCTGCCAACCTGGAAATTCAGCAGCAGATGTACAATGAAGGCTTAGGAATTGTCATTAAAGGGGGGAAACAGCCGGGCATGGTGGCACACACCTATAACCCCAGCAGCACGGAAGGCTGATCGCAAGTTCAAAGCTAGCCTCAGCAACCTAGTGAGGCCCTAAGCAACTTAGAGACCCTTTGTCTCAAAATAAAGCACAAAGGGGGGGAATGTGGTAGGGATATGGCTCAGTGGTTAAGAACCCTGGGTTCAATCCTTGGTACAAAAAAAGCGGGGTGGGGGGGCGGGGGATATAAATAATAGCTCTTGATGGAGGCAACTCTGGCTGTGAATCTTATTACACCTTTTTCCATGAGCTTCCAGACTTGTCCTCCAATGCCACTATGTGGTAAGGCTAGGGATCTTTTTAATTCTTAGTTAAGGAAAATGATTAGATTATCTTTCACCAGAAGTTCACAGATACCTCCAACTCTGGGAAGATGGTATCCAAATACCACTGGAATGACTTGCACTTCAATTGTTTTCTTAATTTCACACGTTCACTAACGTTTCCATAGGACTTAAATTTCAAAGCAGGTCTCCGGTTGAAAAAATGCGCCTAAATAAACAGAAAGAATAATTTCATTAAGCCAAACAAACCTTTGGTAATCAGATCATATCAAATCAAGCAGCATATATTTTCAACATCTGAACTAAACAAAGCAAACCAACCAACCTTCCCTCTGTCTAGGGAACAAAGCAAAGATACAGCATGGGACCTTAGATGACTCACCGGCTCAGAGTCTCAGGATATGTCATGGTTCAGGATTTAGGAAACTGGGCCTACTTCTCAGGAGCCAAAGATCCCCAGCTGCCCACTGCAGTGCCCCCTTTCTCCTTCCAGGACAAAACCTGTCACTTCCGGGTCTCAATGGATACTTCTATCTCTCTTCAGGATGGGGATGGTGGTTATTAAGGGGGAATGGACTCTGGGGGGAGCCAGCCTGGGTTCCAATCCTGACTCTGCCATTAATTACCTGTGATCTTGGGTGAGTTTTTTGCACCCCTGTGAGGTTGTTGGGAGGACTCAGAGCTTCATACATGCAAAACCCCTGGGAGAGGAGGCTGGCACATAGCAAATGCACGTCTGTATTGGTCTTCATTATCACAACTGGTCACTGTTTTGTATTTTAGGGTGAATGCCTAATGGACATCATCAGTCCCATATTGAAGGATGCGTCCTAAGTAGACCCAAGCGTCTTTGGAAGCAGAACTGCTGCATTTTCATTTATGTTATGCTAACGCCTGGAACTAGTGTTGAGAGGGCCCCACTCATCCATGTTGGTGAACCATGTGTACCATGTTGGATGCTCCTCTGCATTTCTTGACCACACCCAATGATGGTCGAGTCCTGGCCATCATAGTCTGCAGCCTATTTCCCCAGGGTGAAAATAATCTCAGAATCTTTCATAACTAAGTGAATGCAATTTAACACTATGGAACATCATTTTTTAACCTCTCATATTAAAAAAGTATGCAGTCGGGCTGGGGATGTGGCTCAAGCGGTAGCGCGCTCGCCTGGCATGCGTGCGGCCCGGGTTTGATCCTCTGCACCACATACAAACAAAGATGTTGTGTCCACCGAAAAAACTAAAAAAATAAATATTAAAAAAATTCTCTCTCTCACTCTTTAAAAAAAAAATGCAGTCTAATGTAGACCAGTGTGAGAGACGGGTACTTCCATATACATTTGATGACAATGTAAAAGACAGCACAGACACTGAGGACAGTTTGGGCATATCCATTAGCATTTAAAATGCACAAAGTCATGCATTAACGCTCCCACACTAGCAGGGCTGGGAAATTCTCAGAGCTGACCAACACTTGGTCCCGTCAGACTTTAAGTTTTTCCAATCCAAGTCCAAGAATATCTTATTGAGGTCTTCATTGATATTTCTCTAATTACAAAAGAAATTGAGTGTTATTATTTTCATAATTTAAAAACTTGGAATCACAGAAACATAAGGACTCTTACACATTTCTGTCCACTTGATGGGAATGAGGTTGCCATGGGATTCCTGCCCTTCCTTGTTTGAGCATGGCGCCAAGGTCCTGGCGAGGTGCTCATCCCTTCAGGAAATGTACAAATGGAGGGGCATGGCTTGGATATAGAAACGTTTATTGGCAGAAAAAGAGGTTCTTACACGGTCCCACGACCAGTGGCACTGCAGCACTCAGGGATTCGGTAGTGGGAAAGGAGATCTAAAAACTTCCACCTGGAGATGGAGGAAGGGAGAGGCTATTTGCTTTGGGGTGAGGGGTGGGGCAATTCTTTGCATGGAAAAATAGATATAGGAGAAAAACAAGAATTTCTTATGTATGTTGGTTGATTTACTTCTGAAAAACTCTGGTGTCCCTAGAAATTAAAATTTTTAAAAATGAGGTGCAAATCTAGCAGCATAGAATTAACTGAGAATGGGACTGGAGATGGGTGGAAGAGTGTTGAAGGGGCACCACTAAGTTATGGAAAACAGAAAAGAAGAACATTCGAATCTGGGAGCACAGAAGGCTTCTTCCCAAGAAGCCCTTCCCTGGGCCTGGTGCATCCCTCCCTGTGGAAGGTGCTCCTCACCTTGTGCTCATCCATCCAAACATGCACCACTCGGAGGTAGTTCTCTATCACAGCTCTCTCCAAGTCAGGATCTCTTTTTATCTGGTTCCTAATGACGTGTCCAACTCGAGAGCAGGGAATTATATACAGTTGGCCTCCACACATCCAGATCTAGACAAAAGAAAAACAAAAACCATATTAAGGTATTTTTGCTAGGAATAGGCCACTGCTGAAGTTTTTTTTTTTTGTTGTTGTTGTTGTTTTACAAACATAAATCATAATATTTATTGTTCCTTATTTCACTTAATTCTTTCAACAGCCTTATAATGAAGATACTCTAATTATCCCCATTTTATAGGTGAGAAAACGCACATATGGATTGTTAAGCAGTTTGTTAAGTGGCACAGACAGTATTCAAATTTATGAAGTCTGGCCTAAGAGCCAGAACTCTGGATGCCAAGCAGCTCTCCTTTCTCATCCTAAATATTATTAGATGCAAGCAAGAGACAAGAGAAATGCCAGTCCTGACTGAAAAGTTAATAATCCACCCTTTTTTGTATCTACCACCTATGACATTTATTTTTAATGATTCACTATATGAAAGTAAGATAAAGTCATTGAAAATGAATATAAAAAGCACACATAAGAAAACAAAATTCACTTCTCACCCTGACATTCTAAGCTAGACAACAGACTGAGGCTCTGTCTCAAAACTAAAATAGGAAGAAAAGAATGAAAAGGCTGGAGTGTGGCTTAGGTGGTTAAGCGCCCCTGGGTTTAAACGCTGTCACCAAACCAAACCAAACAAAAAAACAACCCAGGACGTGTACTGAAATAAACACACACAACATGAAGATAACTGGCTTTTTTCATTTGATGTTATGCAAAATTATTTGAAAAGTCATACTATTTGAGCATTTGGGTGGTTCCCAATTTCATTATTAAAAAAATAGACCACAAAGAATGAGCTTCTGATATAAATTTTGGGCATATCATTTGTACATCTGGCAGCGTATCTGCCATGGCAATTCTGCTGACTGGAATTTAATGGCTCTCATGTGGTCCTCAGGTCACCAGTTACCAGCATCACTTGGAAACTTGGTAGAAATGCCAATCACTGGGCCCACAGAGACCTCCTGAGCCAATTCCCAGCATAGAATCGCAGCCATCCCAGCCAACCCAGCACTGGCTGAGCCTCCAGGTGGCCACAGAAGTGGAAGCAACACCAACAGAAACCAGCCATTTGGCTAATACCAGAACCACTCTAGCAGATGAGCTAGGAGGGAAAAAGCAATTGATTGTTGTTTCAAGCCACTGTGCTTTGGGATATTTGTTACGCAGCAAAACCACTGATACACAATACAACATTTTTCTACTAATGCCAGCTTTATCTGTTTACTTATTTCTCTTTCCATTTAGCTGTTCATTCTAGAAACAGTGGCAGATGGAAATCTCATTCAGTAAACATCGGCGGCTCACTCCCCTCCCTCACCTCTGCACAGGCCATTTCCCTGACACAGCGATGCTGGACTCCTTTGTTTGACATACTTCAGCCAGGGAAATGCAGGCCCAGGTAGCTCATGGGGAAGCTTGGTTATTCCATGTGGTTTGGTTCCATCCATTCAGTAGGACAAGAACATGCCCTGAACCCCTGCTACTCCCAGAACAATGATCAGACCTCACAGACCCAGAAACCAGCGCCCAGTACAGCCAGCAGTTGCTGTTCCTTTAGTTACTGGACTGTGGCAGGGGCCATAGTGCCTGGCCTAGAGACTGGGATTCAGATGGGAGGTTCAGGTGGCTCAGAGTGGAGGTTCTTTCACCCAGATGAAGAGAGAGTGCACTGTGCTGACCACCAGCATGACTTTCCAGGTGCAGAGTGGCTGAATGCCAGCCAAGTCTCAAAGAGAAGTCTGAAGATTTAGGAAAGAAACCTCAGGACCCCTGCTCACAAGCAGCAGCAGGAGTTCCTGTGAAGAAAATGGAGAGCCACTGAGCAGTGGAGGGGACCTGGGTCCTGGCTCTAAAATCCAAAAAGGCTTCTGAAAAAAGACTGGTCTCTGGGATCAATGCTGTTGTGACATCCACTGGATGGAAAACCAAAGCAAACCACCAGGGACCAGTGACAGTTCCTGGAATGATGTCACAGGATGTTGTCTAATTAGACTGAAGAGCAAATGAGAGATGAAGATGTTTGTGCAAATGCACAGATGATTCCCAGGACAGACAAGGTCAGAGGCAGCTGCTAGTGTTGAGTTCTACAGCTATTTATTAACTTACATTTTGTTTTTGACAAGAGACCCCCCCCCCAGCATGCTTAAAAGATATGGAGGGGCCATTGGGAATGGAGTGGTTGAAAGTATTGGAACAGGGATAATTAATACCTTTGAATAGTATATCAGCTGTCGTTTGCTACCTGCAGGGAGTGGAATACTCTTACTTTTCAAATATGCTTGTGTCATTCACAAAAATGATTTTATTCTGAGACCCAGGATGAACTTATACATTATTAAAGTGCTGAAAGGGGGAAATTCCTTCTACAGTATTCTCAGAGAGTAATATAGTAATATGAGGAATAGTTGTCCAAACAGAATAAAAGGTGTTATGAAATCCTGCCAGGACCAGCAAGAAACACAAGAGGAGGTTGGAGAAGGAGCAATGAAAACAACAAACATGAGATTCCACTAAGCAGGGGCTCGGAGGAAAAGAAACTGCTGTACAGATTCCTAGGTGCACAATGAGGGACCTGAAGATTTAGGAAAGAAATCTGTGCTTGAAAGAAAAAAAAAAATGAAATGACCAGCCGAAAGAACGAAGGAAAAGGGGGATGAGATATAATCAAACAGAAAAAGAATACAACTACCAAGACAATGGAAAGAGAATCTGCAGATTAAAAGTAGATTAACTTGCTGTACTATCCATTCAGAATAACAAAACGTATGGGGAGAGAATTCAATATTGAATGTTCTCAGTTTTTGCAAGGAGCCCCATTCATTGTTGTTTGCATGTGACACTGGAGGGGGCCTGGATGCTCAGGGAGGAAAATTGAACATAATTACCACATCATTTACATGACTAAAAGTCAAATTTTGCTCTCTACATAAAAAGGTAACTATTTTTTAAAAAAGTTCAAATTACCCTTAGTGAAATCTCCACATTTTCTCCTCCCCAAAAATTCATGCCCTTGTCATACTGTCCAATTTCGTAAAAATAATGCCGATTTATAGCAAAAAGCCCTCCAGCCATGGCAGGTGACCTGGGAAGAAGAAAAAAGATAGTAATCATGAGTGTTCCTAAAAATCATATTGAATATTAGTGTAACTTAGTTAGAAACTAGGAAGCAACTGTATCAATACTAACATTATCTTAACATCCAGCTAAGTGTGTGAAATTACTAAGTTAAAACTACAGTTACTTAAAAGTAGGCAATGACATTTACTTAGCTCTCACCAAATTATGTGAACATCATATTCTTCGTGTGTGTTTCATTTTAGTTGAGCTGTAGTAACTGTCCACAGTTTGGGGGCACACTGGTGTGTTCTGCATGTATGAACTGTGCAATGTTCAAGTCAGGGCAGTGAGTGTGTCCATTATCACAAGCAGTATCATGACTTTATGGCGAGACATTCAGAATTCTTTCTTCTAGCTATTCTGGAACATGCTATACATTATTCTGAACTACAGTTCCCTGCCTTGCCCTGCAATAGAACCCCAAACTTACTCCTCCTGACTGTGGCTCTGCTCTGTTGGCTGACCCCCCCCCTTCTCCTGCCTTCCCCATTCCCTCCCTGGCTTCTGGGGTTCACTGTTGGACTCTTCACTTCCTTGAGATCTGTTTTTTTAGGTCCCTGTGAGGTCTTATGGTGCTTGTCTTTCTGCATCTAGCTCATTTCCCTTGGTACAATATCCTCTGGATCTATCCATGTGGTTGCAAATGAGCATTTCACCTTTTTATGGCTGAATAATATTCCATTGTACCACATTTTCTTTATCCACCCATCTATCAGTGGCCATTTAGATTTGATTCTTGGCTGTTGGGAGTAGTGCAGATGTCTCTTCAGTGTACCCATATGATTTCCTTTGGGTCTATAGCCAGTAGAGGGGTCTATTTTTGAGGGATCACCATACTGTTTTACATAACCTATATTCCCATCAAGTTTCTCCACATCCTCAGCAGCACTCTGGAGACAGGGCCTGGTTAAATTGCTGAGGCTGGCTTCAAAGTTGCCATCCTCTTGCCTTAGCCTTCCAAGTCGCTGGGATTACAAATGTGTGCCAGTGCACCTGGCTCCTTTCAGTTTTTTTTAGTCTTGGTTTCATCTGTGAAGTCAGAGGTAAGGTTGCTCATCAAGGGTAGAGTGTTCAGGTTGGCAGGTAGGTGGACGAAGGAAAGAAATCAAGATTTTTTTCTAGCCACTGGGGGAAAATGAGTGAATAAGGCTCTCCAGAGCAGCAGGGCGGGCATGGGTTAGGGTTGGGGCACATCTTTTAGGTTTTTGGCAGAATATGTCAGGTCACTCAGAAGAACAAAGGGAACAGAGGTTGGGGTTGGTCCTGTGTCGGAGATGGGCAGAGCTTGTGGCAGAAGTAAAGTGGCTCAGCCACCGTGGTGCAGGCAAGAGGAGCAAATGCATAGATCAGAAAATCCAGGACACATGAGAAGGAAGGAAATTCTGAGGGGATAAAGGAGAAATCAAAAGGCTGGCGTTCTGGATGGTGCCCAAGAAGCAGAGCAGAAAAGCCAGGCCAGGAAGATGCTGGGTGGTCCAAGAGAAGGATACCGTGTCCTGTAGTCAGAGATGGGAGCCCGAGAGATACCAAGGTTGCCATCATAGCTGACAGTGTAACATAGCTAACTTTTGTATGCACACCTACGTTTCCTAATAACCCCGTGAAGTATTAGTCTCCAGATGTTACAGGGAAGGAATCCGATGTGGAGAGGCTTGGTGACTTGCTGTAACTTAATTAGAAGAGAGGTGCAGGTAAGGACTTGCTGGCCTATAGAGTTGGAACCTTCATGTGATTTGTGACGAGGGATGAGTCTGGCACCAAGGTATCAGTAAGGAAGCTCTTCAGGACTGACCTCGTAAATGCAGCCAGAAGTCCCAGCATTCAAAACAACCAAGTGAGAATTAATAGCAAATTCAGCTGCTCTTCCATTTTAAAATATATTTTCCACAGTGAACAAGCTAGGAAAACCAGGCTCATCTCAGCCAATGAAATCACCTGTGAAAACACTTGGATAATGTTTTTTTATGTGCATTTTCCTCTGGGCTAACTTGGCCTTTTGTTCCTGGATCAGCACCCAGGTTGCTCCTGACGACAAAGCCCATGTTCTAAAGAGGGGAATCAGGAATCAGAGGCATACTTACTAACCGTGGAGGTTTTCCAAACTGGGATTCACGTTTTCAATTGTAGAAACTTAACATCTACCAAAATCTGGCACTAAGGAGTTTAAGAAACAAGCCACAAAGCAGACCTTCATTAAGTCCCAGAAATCTAGGGAATATTGGAAAGTTTCTTTCTCAGATCCCAACATACATATGCCGTTTCCCCTTAACCATAAGAAATCTCACCGGATTGGTTTACTTGGTCCGTCTGGTCCTTCTACCTCATAAGAGAAAACTTTATCCCATTTAAATTGCAGGTTCCAGTCAAAAATGCCCCTTACAAGAGGAGAGGCCTTATATTCAAAGGTCATCTCGTCAATGACGTCTATCAGAGGGCACACTACCATCTTGGGGTTCTTGGAGATGGCCTGCAGCAGGGGCTCCAGCCAGACTCTGTTGACCTCGCAGTGGCTATCCAAGAACACCAGAACGTCCCCTGGGGAGGCAAGAACAGACTGACGCTAATCCGCATGGGCAAGACTCGGGACAACCAAACCCAAACAGGATGCAGAGAGGACCTGCAGAACATTCCCCCATGTTTGCCCTGGAGGAAACAGGAAACGCGTACTTTATCATGTCCGAAAAGGTGGGACACCATGTGCTGTGGGTGTTCAGAGGAAGCTGGCGAACTGGGTTAGAGACTGGTCTGGGAAAAATCCTAAAGAAGCAGGTGGAACTGAGCTGGGCTTCAATTTTTAAAAGTCATTTTAGTTTGGCCTTCACTGACCCACTTAATTTGGCAAATTCTTACTGAGATGATACCTTCTCAGGCATCGGTTTGGTGGTTGTGATGCAAAGATGCATAAAGCTTTTTACTCTGAGGTCAAGTTTTGTTTTATCTTAACTTGGAGCCTCACCGTGGTGTTATTTATCGTGGTGCGGGGGATGGAACCCGGAGCCTGATATCTCCTAGGCCAGCACTCTGCTTCTGAGCCACATCACAGGCCTGAGTGCAAGTTTTAATGAGGGTCTGTTCTGCTTAGACAACATGGGAGTGGCCGGGCCAAGCCAGCTATGTGTCATAAAATACATTCTACACATTCCAGGCAGGAGGGACTTCCAATTTCAGCTACTTATTTCCCCAGGTTTTTCTTCCTATGGACAGCCCTCTTTTCCTTTCCACATTAATTTTTCATCAAATTCTCTTATAATCTTGTTTTGGGTGAAGACCATCTCTGTAGAAGCTACTGCTCCCCCAGGCATGCTGGCCATAGAAAGTTCTTCCCTCTCCTACCTGGGTTAAGCCGACACCTAGGGGCAATGTCAGCTGCTGTGGCCCAACACTGTGCTTTGGGGAAGGAGGTGCTGACTGCTAGCAGTCCTTCCAGTTGTCCTGCAGATAAGGCCCTCCAGAGAAAGCCACAGGGACCAACTTAAACCAGACAGAACTGCCTGGCTTCCCTTCTAGGTGACCTAGAGTGAACTCTGCCTATTATAACCTCAATATAATGCCAAATTCCCCACCTCAGAGGCAATCCCATCTGCCATGCGCTGTGCATGTGGCAATCCCTGCTTACCCCTGGGGCGCCACTCCAGGGTGAGTAAAATTCCCTTGCTTCCTTTGTTTGAGGAAGCACTGCTGTCTGGCTTTGCACTCCCCCAAGTGTGAACACATTGCATTTGGTTACTGGCATTTCCTAGTTACCAGCAGCTACTTCCAAACCACAGAGTCTCTGTTCCCATGGGTGGTGGTGTATGTGTGGGGTGGGGGGGGGGGACAACATAACCTTTCCTTTAGATGTATTACAATCCATCTGATCATAACATTCCTTTTCTGACTTCTTCTTCACTTTGCAAAATCCATACAAAGCTTCCTCATTCTCCTGGTGGAGTAAGCTACCTGCATTTCTGAAATGCAGTGTCCATCCTGTAATCTATGGGCAACTGGACAGCAAACTGACCCCCACAAAAGGACAGATAGCAATAAACAGTATGAAGAAAAAGAAACTGGAGTAAGGATGACAGAGAGGAATGGGGGTTTGCTCTTTCAGACAGTGTTCCCCTCTTATCTGAAGTTCAGTTTGTGTTTTCAGTTACCTGTTTTCAACTACAGTGTGAAAATACTAACTGGAAAATTGCAGAAATAAACAATTCATAAGTTTTCAATGGCACACTACTCCCAGGAGGGTGAAGAAATCTCACCTACCCCTTTCTGCCCACCCAGCCCATAAATCATCCCTTCGTGCAGTGTATTCATGCTGTACATGACATCTGCAAGTCAGTCACTGAGTAGCTTTCTTGGGTTTCAGATGATAGTTGTGATGTCAGGGAACCCTTATTTACTTAATGATAGCCTCAGAACACAAAGGTAGCAAAAGACAGATGAACCCTGGAAACACAGTCCTTATGAATGCATACGGTTCAGTACTATATGTAGATTCAAGTCACTGGGAGTCTTGAACTGTCTTGTGGATTAAGGGTGACGACTGTATAAGGTTGGTTTTGACACTCAAATGGACTACATTGTGTTGGTGGTTTGTATTGAGTTTTGAATAATGAGTATGTATTATCTTTATAGTTAAGAGAACATCTCCACTGATCAGTCCAACTTAGAAAAAGAGAATAAGAAAAAAAGAGAGTCAAAATTTACTTTTATTTGGCCTTTCATTCAACAAGAAGGTATTTCCTGCTAGGGAGCAGGGACATCCAATTGCAGTGTGGACTGATAAAATGTCCTTAAAAGGGACCTATCTTCTTGTTTCATGTTCTACAAACACCCTGTGATCATGAAGGTTTGGCGGGAAGCTTGAGGAGGAGGCGCCTCTGGGGAGGTGCTCAGATCTCGCAAGGCTCAGCTGCCCAGCAGTGTTGGTGGCTGATGCCCCTGGCCAACCATGGCTACCGAGTGTGTTGTGATGACCTGCTGCGGGTGAGAGGCTCGTATCTGATCACTGGTCCATGTCTGGTTCCCCTACCTGGATCAGGAACCTCTCTCATTGGCCCTGGGACCGTGCTGCTCGGATCACCCTTCAGGAGAACCTGAACCTGAACCTGAACCTGTTGTGACCGTAGATTGGACTCTTCCCTGCTACCCAAGCTTTGGGGTCTACGGCGGTTCAGTCAAGGTCACGTTCCCCTCAGGGCATTCCCAGAGAGTGACTGAGCACAGTGTGTGTGTGTGTGTGTGTGTGTGTGTGTGTGTGTGTACGCATGTGTGCGTGTATAGGAAGGGGACCCAGAGACGGCTCATTCCGGCCATTCAGGATCCTTCAAGGCAACCAGCCCATTAGCCTCTCTGAGAGCCACGCTGTAATCCCAAGCTCTTCAGTGCAAACCTCCCTCCATCCCTCTCTTCCTTCACGTGTGCCAGGCCAGAAACCTGAACCCTGTACAGGTGTTTTCCCACTGGGTGGCCCACACCGAAAAGACTCAGAATTTGTACCCAGGGGAACTCGGTCGGTAACAGGGGCTGGCATTCAGGCTTTTGTAAAAGAATATCTTCCATTTGAAATATCATAACATTTGGAAGCAGAACACTTTCAGAGCCAACAGAGGGTTTAAGGCTTGAACCCGCTGACAGAGGGAGGGTCTCGAGGACGGTTTTGGTGTGTGAAGATAGAGCTGCAAGGCACACTGTGGCTCGTGTCCAGAGGGATGTCCATACCTGAAGCATGTCCTGCTCCAATCATTCTGGATCGAATCAGCCCCTCTCTCTCCTTGTTTCTAATTAGTTTGATCTTCCCCCGAAAAATTTCCAGGTAGCCGTCTAGTTTTTCTTTCAAATCATCTAGAAAAATATCCAACACCTGACAATTTATAAACGGCAACTGTAGAAATTAAAACAACTTATCATCATTATGGATTGGTTCCTAAAAACAGTACTATTCCACAAAAGTTTTGACTTTAAAATTTTGTCTTCTGTAAGGGAGAGAAAGACAAGTGATTCATCATCAAAATCACCAATAAAACACCTCTACTTTAATCAATCACTATTAAAATTTTAACAGAAAAAAGTATGAGTTATGGCACTTTGCTACTCATCGACCAGATTGTACCGTGATCAGCTATGCTTCTAACCCTGTGGTGACTCTTGGGCAAGTTGCCAACACACTCCAGTCCCAGTTTGCTCATCTGTGAGAAGGGACGCCCACCACGTTCCTCTAGTGAGAGGAAGAGATCGCCCCGCACAGAACCTGGCACCTAGAAGTCACTCAATGTTAGAGGCTAGCATGGTGACGTGAGCGGAAGCTCCGATGGGTGGGTGGACACAGGTGTTGTAGAGTTCTAGATTCCTCAGCCCGGGAGCATGGATGTGGAGCTGGGATCAGTGGAGCAGTTTCAGTGACCGTGGCGAAGGCAGTGTGTCCTTCCTCTCTCTAAAGATGGCCAGGGCCCTGTCAGAGGCATCTCAGAGTTCAGCTCTCTGCAAAACTCTCTAGCATCCAGGGCACAGGGGGCTCTGCGAGCCAAGACTTGGGGCAGAAAAGCACAATGCTGGCAGCATAATCACTGACCCAATGTGGCTGGGGCTTGGACATTTCAGAAGATAGTCATGTTGTTGGTTGGCAACCCACAGGGACAGGGTGGTAGGAAAGGTGGAGGGTATCCACTGGCAGCGTCCATGGGAATCAGACAGGCTTTAGTTCAGCACACTGCCCGACCATCTATGACGCAGCCATTGTGAAGTAAAGGCAGGGTGTATCAGTCCTGAGCTCCATCGGGACCCAGGCCCTGGGCCCTGTGTTTGAGGTTCTACTGGGGTCCAAAGCCAAGGTTGAGGAGGAGTAAAGGTGTCTGGTCTGGCAGCACCCCCAGGTCTTGGCCCTCAGCAGTGACCCCTCTAGTTTCTTATGAAGGGGACGGAGTGCACCATAGCAGGTCAGACTCAGTGGGGTGGGTGGACTTCCCGCCTAGCCTGTTTCATGTTGGCAATGTTGCTTCAGCATGCCTGGCTCACCTACGGTTTGTACTCGGTTGTAAGCAGACACCTCATTTCAGATTCCAAGAGTTTTTAACCAGATTTGGTCCTTAAAAACCAGTACGCATGGAAAACAAGCACTTAGCTGAGCTGGTCCAATTGGAATGCTCCTCATGAAGGGCCTGGGCCAGGTCCTTTTCCTGCACTGAAGCCTCAATAGCTCCCCATATTTTGGAGTGACATTTGCTTAGAGGCCATTTCATCCTGAAGTGATCTCCAAGGACGAGGCTGGTGCCCCCATGCAGGCTCTGCGGAAGCCCATCAGGACAGGGGCCAGGTCCTCCAGATCTACCATATGCACTGATGGCACCCGGCACAGTGCCTGCCTAGGCACCCGCCAAGAGCATTTCTGGATGAATCACTCAAGTGTCCCGAGGGAGGCTGCACCTCCACGGCAGGTCAGACAACCCATGTCCATCTTACCATACTCGCTATGGTCGTCCACCAAAATAATCTCCTCCAGGAGGTGGGATGGGGTGAGATATATGACACTGGACACTGTCCGGAACAAGACATGAAACTCCTCATTATAGAAGCAAATGACGACGCTGGCAGTGGGCAGGTTCATTGGGTATTGTTTCCCCAGACATCTGCAGGAATAAATAATAGGAAGAAAGTGACTCATCCAAAAGCCGCGAATGCTTTGGGGCCTCCTTCAGACACCCTTCCCCATTTCCACACCACCACCCTTTACTCCTTTATTGATGATTCTGACAATAGGACGACAGTGATCTCAAAGTGCACAAATTAAGATCCAAAACTTTCCTTGACTTCTTACATCGTGCTAAGTTTTGGGGATCATTTCCCCATGATCGCTCTGACATTGTTTTGATGATCTTGGTTCTACTCTAAATATAAGCACAAATTATATCCTCATTTTAGCTTTAATTGTAAAAATGAATTATTGAACTCATACACATGTTGAAAGGGTCCCACTAAGTTTATTTATACTATCTTCAAAGAAAACTCATTCAACTTTAGTTTTACATTTGTGTTGTCTGGTGTAGCAAAAAGTGCAGTAGATTATGGTGTAACTGAATTTCTTCTAAGTATTTGTCAAAAAAGGTTTTATTTTATCTTGTGCAAATGAGGAGAAAACAGAACTCCAGTAAATGTGCGTTATTGACTATTTTTGTTTGGATGGTTATATCACTATTTGGTTATATTTTGAAATATTTTGGTCATAAATTACAGAAATCCAGTGGAGCTTAAGTTAGCTAAGGAGGTACGTTGTATGGGACCCAGTCATAGGAAGGCAGCTGGAGCCTCAAAGAACTAACGCTAGAGGCCCGTCTGGACAGGCCTTCCCTCTCCACTCTTGTCTTTACATCTGAGACTAATAATGATAAGGAAAAGCAACATACTCTCCATCAAAGGCAGGTTCAGTAAGTGACAGATGTGCTTGTGCAATGTTCCTTCTGTGACTGTGATTCTCCTCTGCCGTGGGGTGTGTTTCCACCGGTTCAACTCCACAGAGTGAGAGATGTGCTTGGCACCAGCTCATAGGCCAGCACCGAGGGTAAATAAGAGACTTTTCTTTAGCAAGATCCAACTTTACAGGACAAGGGGTCACGGGCTCCGCCTGGCTCAGGGGGCAGCCCTGAGCTAATCAACTAGGGCAGCCAGTGGGATCAAATAGAAAATCGTCGTCCTCCCTGCAACCTTGTGAAGAAGTCCATGCTTCCTGGGGACGATCGGGAAAGGAGGCCGTGAGGAGGCAAAGCTCCAGGAGCCCTGGACGGTGCCTCCAGGACAGTCGAGCCCTGAAGGCACCACCGGAGGAGAGGGCCTCATCTGGACCAGACGGAGACGGGCAAGGTGTGCTTGCTGAAGGGAAGCTGGCTCGTGCTCAGGGGATGGAGACTCCATGAGACGACAGAGGCCAGGAAAGGCCCCGCAGAGAGGAAGAACCAGCAGGTCCTCCCCACACTCGGCATTGAGGAGACGCGGCTTTAGAACCAAAAGGCCTAAGTTGCAGTCGGATTAGTGAGTGATGAGAAGAAGAAGTGGGGAGAGCAGGAGGGAGAGAGGACGAGGCTGTGAAGCCAGGCTGAATTCATGGAAGGTTCTTACCAAGGATCAGGGTGGGTTCAGGGTGAACTTGAGCTGCTCAAGTCACATCTGCAGTATTATGTTCAGTCCAGGGTGTGTCAGTTTAAGCACAGCTAAGCTCTGTCCCTCCAGTGGGATGATGGTGAAGGAGCCTGAGTCCTGTCATATGAGGACAGGTGACAGGCCTCCAGGAGAGCCTGGTATGTGTGTGTGTGTGTGTGCGTGCGCACGCACGCTTCTCTAAAATTAATCCACAAACTTTGCTGTGATATTTCTTTCCAGAAAACTTATTTGATCTGAATAAATTAAGGGTAAAGTAATTTGGACAAAGCCTGTGTTTGGTCATCCTGGTGGGCCCATCTGCTTTTAGCCTTTCATTAAGATCCACACAGTGTACTTAAAGCAGGACCCTATGGTTGAAGTGAGTCCCTGCCCCCAGCCCTGTTGAAATCCCAATCCCCAGGTCATCAGAACATGGCCTGACTTGGAGACGGGGTTCTCCCAGAGGTAATCAGAGTAAGATGGGGCACTGGGTGGGTGGGCCCCAGTGCAAGGTGGCCATGTCCTTATACAGAGCGGAGATTTGGATACAGTGACTCACCTGCAGAGGACAGACACTGTGAGTAGCCAGAGGCCAAAGATGACCACCTGCAAGCCGCGGAGAGAGGCCCTCCATCTGGAATCCATAAAGAACTCCCCAAACCCAAGAATAAGAAAACAAATGGCACAATTTAAAAATGGACAAAGATACTTGAACTTCAACAAAGGAGACACACAGATGGCAGGTGAACAGATGAAAAGATGCTCAACACCATTCCTCAGGAGGCAGACACCAATGACTCCACCGTGAAACACCAGGCACGACACCCCTCCCAGGAGGCCCCAAAGTAAACACTGGTGACGCCAAGGGCTAGCAAAGATGAGGGAGCTGGAACTGCCAGTGCTCTGAGGAGAAGGCACAGGATATGCCTGCGCTGGGACCAGGTCAAGCACACACCATAAGATCCAGCCTTTGCATTTCCAAGTACTTACCCAAGAGGGAAAAAAATCATCTCGCTACACCAAACTTGTCTAAGAATGTTCAAACCAGCATTGTTTCTAACAGACGAAACCTGGCAACAATCAATGGCTTATCAATAGGTAAGTAAAGCAATAAACAAATCGTGGTGCACCCCTATGTGAATACTTCTCAGCAGCGAAGAATGACCCCAGGGATGAGCAATGTCGTTTCCGATGTCTTTCCTCCATAAATGTTAACACAAGCACATATATATACGTGCACAAAGGTGATTATTACCTAATAATGAAAAGGAAGAAAGATTCTGAAAGAACAGTGTCATGTTAAATCCCAAGAATCTAAGAAAAGAAGAGCAAATGAAGTTCAATTAGTAAAAGGAAGGAAATGATAAAGACCAGAACATGCATACTTCAAATAGAGATTGGGGGAGGAATAGAAAAGATGAACAAAACAAAGAGGTGTTTTGTTGTTTTTGTGGTGCTGGGGATAGAATCCAGGGCCCCATGCATGCTAGGCAAGCGCTCTACCACAGAGCCACATCCTCAGCCCAAGAGCTGTTTTTTTGAAAAAATAAACAAAATTGACAAACTTTTAGGTACACTAATAAAAAGAGAGAGTAGACTCAAACAAGTGGAATCAGAAACAAAAAGGAGACCTTCAAGTTGACAACACAGTACAAAAAGAATCATGAAACTACCATGAACACTACAGTCAACAAATTAGATAGTCTAAAAGAAATGGGTGAATTCCAAGACACAGACAAGCTACCAAGATTAAGTCAAGAAGAAAGAAAATCTGAATAGACCAATAACGAGGACATTGAATCAGTAATAAAATTCTGCAGTTGAAGAAAATCCCAGGACCAGATGGCTTAATACTCAAATGTTTTACGTTCTACCAAACATTTGAAGAGCATGACCTTTCTCAAACTCTTCAAAAAAAAAAAAAAAAAAAAAAAAAGAAAAGGAGGGAACAACACTTCCAAACTAATTTTAAAAGGCCAGCATTACCCTGATATCAAAGCCAGACAAGGATACTACAATAAAAGAAAATTATTGGCTAATATTCCAGATGAACACAGTTGCAAAAGTTTGTAAAAATCATCTATAAAATACTAACAAAACAAATTCAATGGCCCACTTGCCACGCTCGAGTGGAATTTATTTCTGGGATACAAAGACGGTCAAACATAAGCAAATTCATAAGTGTGAAATACCGTATCTGCAGAATGAGGGACAAAGGTGATGTGATCATCTGAGAGGGGCAGAAGCTGCACTGGACAGAATCCTACATCCCTTTCTGACTAAAGAGCCTCTCAGCAGGTTAGGTATGTGGAAAGCATGTACATCCATTCTCCACAAGCCCATAGCACATGTCCTACCCGACAGCAAGAAGTTGAGAGCTTTTTCTCTAAGATCAGGAACAAGATAAGGATGCCCATTCCTGTCACTTTTATTGAACATAATAATAATAACAATACAAGATAAATTAACAAAAGGTATTAGAAGCAGAAAGGAAGAAATTACATTGTTTCTGTTTGTAGACAGTATGATCTTTTATGTAGAAAATTCTAAATACTCCACCAAAAAATTGTTAGAACTAATAAATTCAGTAAAGTTGTAGGATATAAAACCAACATAAATCAAGTCGCTTCTCGATACACTGACGATGAACCATTCAAAAAAGAAATTAAGAAAACAGTTCTATTTACAACAACAAAAACAAACAAAAAACAACCACTAAGGAAAAAATTTAACCAAGGACATGAAAAATCTATGCATTGAAAATTACAAGACATTGATGAAAGAAATTGAAGACACAAATGAAAAGATACCCCATGTTCATGGCTTAGAAGTATCATCTATGCTACTGAAATGACTATAGACTTAACACAATTTCTTTAAGTATTTCAGAGAGATTTTTCACAGAAACAGAAAAAATAATTGTAAATATTATGTGCAAACAAAAGATCTCAAACAGCCAAAACAATCTTGAGTTTAAGGAATAAAGTCAGCACATCACATCACCTGATTTCCAAATCTGCTATGAAGCCAAAATAATCAAAATAGCACCACAGGGTCATGAAAACAGACACACAGGCCAATGGGCCAGAAGAGAGATACCAAAGTAAATCAATGCATTTATGGTCAATGAACTTTCAAGAAAGATGCCAAGAATGTGTCAGAGGAAGTACAGTCTCTCTAATAATAATTTGTACTGGGAAAACTGATATCCACACATGAATGGAATTACACCCTTATCTCAAACCATACACAAAAATAACTCAAAATGATCAAACACTTAAACATAAGACCTAAACTACAAAATGGCTAGGAGACAACATTGGCATGGGCTTTTCTTTAGCTACGACCCTGCAAGAACAGCAACAAAACCAAAAATAAACAGATGGGGTGGTATCAGACTAAAAAATCTTCTGTACAGCAAAGAAAATGATCAACAGGGTGGAGAGAGGACCTACAGGTTAAGAGAAAATATTTTCAAATCACATGTCTGATAAGGAATTAAAATCCAAATCATGCAAGGAGCTCAAACAACTCAATAAGACAACAAATGATATAATTAAATAACTGACAAAAAATCTGAATGGACATTTTTTAAAAGAGGGCAAACAAATGTCAATAGGCATATAAAAAATTGTTCAACATCACTAATTGTCAGGGAAAATCAAATTAAAGGTACAGTGAGGCTGGGTGTGGTGGCATACACCTGTAATCCCAGCAGCTCGGGAGGCTGAGGCAGAAGGATCGCAAATTCAAAACCAGCCTCAGCAAAAGCCAGGTGGTAAGCAACTCAGTGAGACCCTGTCTCTAAATAAAATACAAAATAGGGCTGGGGGTGTGGCTCAGTGGTCAAGTGTCCCTGAGTTCAGTCCTGGTATCTACCTCCCACAATAAAAGTACAGTGAGAAATCACCTCATATATGTTAAAATGGTTGTTATCAGAAAGATGAAAGATAACAAGTCTGACAAGATCTGGAGAGAGAGAGAAACTTGCCCCCTCTTGGGAGAGGGCACGGTCACTGTGGAGAACAGCAGGACCTGGCTATCCCACTTTGGGAGATATATCCAAAGAGTAGGAAGTCAGTGTATTGAGAAGACAGCTGCACTCCCAAGTTCACAATCAAGATGTGGAATCAACCAAGTGCCCATCGATGAAGGAATGGCAAAAATGTGGCATATGCCTGCAGCAGAATCCTATTCAGCTCCAGTGAAGAAGGAAACCTGGTTGTCTGCAGCAAGCGCGAGCCTGGAGGACCTTATGCTAAGTGAAAAGAAGCCAGGAACAGAAAGACAAATGCCTCATGATCTCACTCCCGTGTGACACCATTGAACTCACAGGGGCAGAGAGTGAGGGGGTGGCTGGGGAGGGGTAAAGGAGGGAGGTGGGAAAATGTTGGTCAAGTTTACAAATTGTCAGGAAGAATAAGTTCAAGAGAGCTGTTGTATAGCATGGTGACTACAGTTAATGTAACGTGGACCTGAAAACTGCTAAAAGGGTAGAATTAAAGTGTTTGTTTACCCATGCAAAAAAAAAAAAAAAAGGCGTATGAGATAGTACCTGTGATTTAGCCTTTCCACAATATGTGCGTGTGCATATTTCAAAACATCATAGTTGTGTACATTTTCAGTGTAAAAAGTTAGATTAAATTTTTAAAATAAAGGCAAAACTGAAATCCAAGTTCTATTTAATGGAATAATAATGTGGTTACTACAATAAGGGCTGGAAATTAGTTTGGACTTTGGGTAGGGTAGTCATTCCTAGTGTTAAAGGGTTTCTTCTCCAACATAGTGGGGTTCTTTGTTAGAACCGAATTTCCTACTAAATAGGTTAACATTTTAAATACCAAATCTGCCAAGTTTACTTCTCTTTTAGACAAATCTCTTTAAACTTTCAGCTTTTTCTTAATAAATAATAAGTGGTAGTGGAAGGGTAGCAAAGGCATTTGTACTATTTCAGATGAGTGGCTATCCCACTTTGGGAGATATATCCAAAGAGTAGGAAGACAGTATATTGAGAAGACAGCTGCACTCCCAAGTTCACAATCAAGATGTGGAATCAACCAAGTTCCCATCTCCCCATAAAGAAATTATGGGGAGAAAATCATAACTCGATGGCATTCAAAATTATTGATCATCCTTTGTGGATAGTTAAATATTCAGTTGATTTAAAAAATTTTCCTCTAAATTCAGACCATGTTCTATGGCTTATGATGACCCAGATAGGCTATGTCATCTGGGCAAAGGCTATATCTCTTGGGTATGTCATATCACCTGGGCCATTTATATGTGGTTTCAAACATTTGTGGTGCATACAGGTCACTACAAGACAACGTGGCCCCCCATTCCCCTGCTTCCTGGGACTTGGAGCTTATCTCTATGTTACTGGTAGAAGTCTGTATTCCTTAACTCAGGGACTCTTCTTTTGGTTAAAGGAGAATATCAGACCCCTTTGCTGAAAACCATTAGAATCTAAATGATATGAAAGAGGTGTTTTTATATAGATGCTACAATGTGGAGTTTCAGTTTGGAATGATGGAAAAGTTGTTAATGCTACTGAATTGTACATTTAAAAATGGCTAGAAGTTAAATTTTATATGGATGTTACCACAAATTTTATATTGAGGATGAACACACCTTTGGCCAGAAGCCCTTACTGGTGACTGAATAAAAAGAACCATGAGCATCTTAATGCTCAGAAACCTCTAGAATGCTTGCTGTGCCAATGGGGACCATACTCTATACACTTTGGAGTCTTGAAATAGGATCTTGACACTGTCTAGCTCCCCGTCCTAAAAATAAGAATCTGCACTACTAGGCTTCTATTATGCTGGAATTAAAATCTGGTTAGTTAGTATTTAAAAAAACACAGAGAAGGAACATACATGGCATTTCTGCTATCCGGCACATCTCTCTGGTAGCCCAAACTTTTGCTGACTATAATATTAAGTCCATATTTTAAAAGTCCACTAGTAAGTTCTGGGTCTGAAAAGTTAAAATTGTTGTCTGCAAGAAAAGATAATTAGAGACACGTAAGTAAAGTCTCACAACTGTCATGCTGAAGCAGGGTAAAAGCAACTGTATCCTGGATTCCTTTTGTAACGAGGCAGGGTCATTTTCTTGGAACCTGATTTACCAGGTGACGAGGCCACAGTGGGGAGCACAGGGATTACACAAATCAAAGTGGATTCTTTAGTCATTTAGTTTTCTGTGGAAGGAAGCTGCTCAGGTTCCAGGTGCTATGATGATTCTCAACTACAGTGTAAAATTACAGTAACGGGGGGGGATTTGGGGAAGGTGGGAGAATGAAACCCAAAATCCCTTGCCCCAAATCCCATTAGAGGGAATAAAGCTTGGTAACAGAGGACAATACCAACATGCCAAACGTAACAGTAAATGAAGTTGGGTCAATTATCAAAAGATTAAAAACTCAGTGGGAATAAAAACCAAAATTCAGTAATAAAAGATAAACAAAATGAACAAAAATGGTTAAAAGCAAAAGCATGAGCAAATAACATAGGGGTCAAAATCTCATTTAAAAAATTATACAGTTCACTGGAAGGCGCATGGAGAGAGTCATTTTATACTAAGCTCTAAGTTGCATTAGAGATTCAATAGTAATGAGCTTGTATTAATAATATCAAATAGTACTGCAACAGAACACTTCAAAAATAGAAATATCATCGTGCATTTTCACAAATAATGGTAGCAGGACATTTTAAGAACATTTGGAATCAGAGAATAAAATCTTGAAAAATATAATTGTTTCCTTGGTGGAACTATGTTGTGCTTTGTCTTCAATAGTATCCCCCTACCTCGTGCCCAGGGAGTGTTTTCCAAAATTGGTATAAAAGGCTACATACAAAGGGGGTTCTGGTCAAGAGTATCCCCATTCCTCCCAGATCCTCTTGCTAAAAAAAAAAAAAAAAAAAAATCTTGTACCCAACAGAACAGATAAGCACAGGAGGACTTTGAGAGATGCAGCAGGATTGCCTTGGGGTTTGATGAAGGACACCCGGAGCTCTTTGGAATTCTTTGTTGCGACTGTGGAAGCCTCTATCTGAAACCACCCACAGGCACAGATAAAAACAGCTTCAGATAACCTTTCCCTGATTACAGAAAGCCTTCAGGAATATCCTCTTTAACAGAGAACTTTCATTCTACCGCCTGCTCCACAGAAGCTGACAGTGTGGCTGGGCAGAAACCAATGGCCTACTGAGAAGTAGGTGGTGTACTGATTCCCTCCTGGGTGACATCAACAAGCTGATCACGAGAAACTGATATGATTCCATTTTTGAGAAACCAGCTTCTACCCTCAAGGCTTGTCCAGAGGGAGGGGACATGACCCCTGTCCTTAGAAAGACCCACAGAGCCTCCTAGGCACATACCCACCCTGCTGAGTTGTTTGTCTGTAAATAACAGGAGAGATCTGTGGCTCCAGGTGTCCCTGACTCAGTTACTCTAGGTGACGACCCATAGCAACCCCCTAGCAACCACCAATCAGCATGAGACAGGGAAAATATCTGAAATGCCAGGTGACCCTCCCAGTATGATTAGGCAACCCTGCAAGTTTAACCAATCAGTTCAAATGTATCCACCTCTTGTACCAACCAATCACCCTTACCCAACTTGTTCTATCCAGTGAATTGTGTGCTAATCAATGTTAAGAGTTGTTGTTTGATTTTCCCACCATGTGAAATGGTTTGCTGTGTGATGTTGTGATGCTGAGAGTATCCCCCCCAAAACCTATAAATCTTCACTGAACTAAGGGTCAGGACTCACTCCCTGGGACCGCTGCGTTGGAACGGTGGTGAGTCCAGGCTCGAGCTTGCAATAAAGACTCTTGTGTGATTGCATCAGATTCGGCTTCTGGAGGTCTACCCATGAATCTGGCATTACAATCAGGGAGCTGGTCTTCTACAACCTCACCAAGTGAAACGGGGGCTGAGTGTACAAGGTAGTGCCAGGGCCATGATGAGTCTTCAATCTCAGCTGGCAGCAACAAGAATTATCCGGTGGTACTGTTACTAAAACTTGCCCAGAGACACTGCTTGGATCCTGGGCTTGCTGGATTCATCTGTCCATACACATAAGAAATGGGCAAATGATAGAAAAAGGAATTTTATGCAATTTGATCAAACTAGGAAGAAGCGGCTTGATTCCTTCTCCCCTGGTCTCACAGAAGCATGGCTAGTTTACAGACACAAAAGGCTAGTGATATACATATGTAGATTTAGTTAGGCTGTGCTAATCAGAAAATATGTCAGTTTTAATTTCCTTGGTGTTTGTCTTCAACATGAGGAAGATTTCTCAGTGGGAGGCAGTTCAGAAGTTAGAACAATTTGGAGCTTTTCATTTCAAAGGGGGACTGTTTCAAATTCCCCATTTACTTGATCTCTCAATCTTGAGGTAATTGGGGCTCCATGTCATCTGACTGGAAGTCCATTACTGAATCGGTGTGCAGATCCCATCAAGGAACTTGAACATAAGGAATTAGAAACTTATTTCTGAAGGAGGCAAAGTCTGAAATATTTTAACAGCTCCACCTAGGAGATGAGCCTTAGTGTTAATTTGCATAGGAATGCTCCTTCCCTAGCCTCCTGGCTGGTTCACCAGAAATTGTGAGGGGCTCAGCAGCATTCCCCATTCCCCATTCCCCAGCTGAACCTCCATCACACCTGGGAGCCACGAGAGAGAAACAGATGGTGTGAGTCCGAACAACTGACGCTCCGCTTCTTCCCTGTGCCAGCAAGGCCTGGTGTCAGTGGGACAGAAGAATAAGGGCAGGCAGGCAGGATAACAGACCCAGTGCTACCCCAGTTACTGGTAAGGTGTAAGTGGGCTCTGAGAGAGAGCTGGACTTCACCCCATCCATCTGCAATGAGACCACATACAGGCCAAATAGCCTGGGTGGTGTCCCTGGGCAAAGCAGGAAGCCACACACCACACACACACACACACACACACACACACACAATCATCTGGCCTTGTGCTACACCTCAACACGGGTACTGCTGCCTGCAAAAGGAGCTCACGATATCTATGAAGTCTCACAATATCAACAATTCTAGGATCCAGTACAAAAATCACTAGTCATACCAAGAATAAGGGAGATCTCAAATTGAATGAAAGAAGACAACCCAGAGAGACCAACCCGAGAAGAACCAGGCTGAATTATCAGATGAGATGTTCAAGTAGTCATCGTAACAGTGCTAGAAACAAACAGAAAAAAGGGAGAATCTCAGCAAAGAAACGGAAGTTACAATAAAAAACCAAATGGAAAGGAGAGGACTAAAGATGATCTAAGTAAACTCTCTGAACGGGCTAGATAGACTGGTGATGACAAAGGACAGGATCCACCAGGACAGATCAGTGGGATTTGCCTGATCTGAACAATAGAGAAAATTAACCGGAAAAGAATTGGAGTGAGGGTCAGGGATCTGCCAGATGAAAGGGGAGCTCACTTTGCATCACGGGAGCTACAGAGGAAAGGGGGGCAAAATAGGATTGGAAAGTGCTCAAAGGAATAATGACTGAAAAGTCCCCCAATTTGGTGAAATATGGAAATCTACAGATTGAAGAAGCGGAGCAGCCCCTCAAAGAGGACAAACCAAGGAAATCCTATCGAGATGCAGCACAATCAAATGGGCGAGAACTGAAGACAAGGAAAACCCTGACAACCAAGGGGAGGTGATGTGATACTTAGAGAGAGACATGAATTTGTGCTCATTTGTTTGCTCTTTGAGACAGGGTCTTGCGATGCTGTCCAGGCTGGTCTTGAACTTGTGAGCTCAGGTGATCCTCCAGCCTTGCCCTCCCAAGTGCTGGGGAGTACAGGTGTGCACCCCCCCCCCCCCCGCCCAGCTGACAAACACCAATTTGATTGGAATTCTCTTCGGGGAACCACAGGGAACAGACAGAAATGGCAAAACACTTCCAAATGCTGAAAGAAAAGAACTGACCACAGCAAATTCCATAACCACCAAAAATATCCTTCAGTAATTATGGAAGAATACAGACATTCTCCGATGAAGAAAAAGTAAGAATTCGGCAATAGCAAACACACCTTTAAGAAATAGCAAAGGGAAAATCGTGCAGAGGCACCTGTCCCTCAATTTAGTGGTGTTCCCCCTGAGGCTGGAGGGTGGGGAAGGAACGGGGGCAAGTTTTGACTGTATTGTTGAAATTTACTCCTTTGAAGAACAGAAGGCTACCTGAAGTGGATACAGCAAACTATAAAAAGAAGTTAAATTTAGGTAGTAAATGCATGCATGCTTATTTTGTTATTTTCTGTGATAAGTATATAGACATATTAAGTATTTTATAATTCAAAAATTAAGTTGCCTTTAAAAGGACATTCTCTTACTCTTTCAAATATTAAAATTTAACTTTTTTTTATTAATTCCTTACAATTAGGCATAATCACACATGCATGGAATATAATTTGCTCCCCTTCAGTCCCCAGTACTTCCTATTCCTGCCCCCTCATTTCCCTTCCTCCACTCTACTGGTCTTCCTCCTATTAATTGTTTTTTTTTAAAATTGGTGTTTTATTGGTATACATAAAGGTGGAATTCATTCTGGAATATTCAAACACGTACATGGCATAATGTGGTCCAATTCAAGGAGTCTGGCTTATTTCACTCAGCACGATGTTCTCTGCTCCCATCATTTTACCATTCTCCTTTATGGCCGAGTTAAACTCCACTGTGTATTTATTCATTTTCTTAATTCACTCATCTGTTGACAGGCACCTGGGTTTCATAACGTGGCTATTGTGAATTGTGCTGATACAAACACTGATGTGCCTGAACACTATTGCATGCTGATTTTAGTTCTTTTGGATAAACACCAAGGAGTAGGACAGCTGGGTCATATGGGGTTCCATTCCTAGTCTTTTGAGGAATCTCCATACTGTTTTCCAAAGTGGTGGTGCTAATTTGTAGTTCCACCAACAACGTATGAGTTACCTTTACTTCCACATTCTCTCCAGCATTTATAGTCTT